GCAGCAAGGACTAAGCCTCGGTACATGGGTCGCCAGCTCTACCCACTGCACCCTCTCTCTTACTTCTTAAAGGAGAAAAGTGATAGAGGAGGAAAGATACATGAGACAAGTCAAGGAGGAGCTGGGATGCACATAAATTAGACTGACAGATTTTAGGGTTTTTATTTAAAAGTGCAGAATGTTGGTATAGTGCAGTTGTGTCTTTTGTCCTGTACTCTGTGCTGTGACAATGCTGCACAACATCTCCCAGAGATAATTTGTTAGTCAAACAGTCAGGCAGACCACTGTGATATCTTTTCATATGCATATAATGTCAGCTGTGATGTGCCGGTAACTGAATCCTGGATTGAGAATTTATTTATTCTCTATTTAGAAAAAAGAGATGTTTTGTTATATTTTTTGAGTAGCAACTATGAGATTTCCAACTTTCTGGCGTCTCTGGAACGCAACATTAGTTGGAGATTTGGGCCCGATTCCAAGCACAGCATATGTGTGTGTGTGTGTGTGTGTGTGTAACAGGGTGAGGGTGCCAGCGAGCACTGTATCTCATCTTCTGGACAAGTCTTTAATCTGTGTGACCCAGCAAGGGATTATGGGGGTTCTGGGAGAAAAATGGGACTTGAAACTCACCCTTCAAGCCTAATAACTGACAGTTTACAGTGTTGTTGTGTGTGTGTGTGTGTGATTTAGTCAGACTACAAAGGAAGGATTTTTCTTCCTGCGCATCGTATTAAGGCATTATGTAATTTACACCTGCATTATTCTTCTTTATCTACGAGGAAAGAATCTCTTTGTATGGGCTTCTATTAAAGCAGCACCGTAAACCACTATAGGACTATAATGGAAATATACAGGACTATTGGATAAGTCGTTAATTCACATTAAAAGGCAACTGAAAAGAATACCATCCTCTGTATTAAATTGTGTTTAAGGAATCAGTGTAAATTAAATTGGTAATATTTTTTACCACATTGTTTATGATTTCCTGTCTGTCGTTCTACATCTATTGTCTGAATCTTAATATGAAACAGGAACTTGTTTGTTTTAAAAGTGAGTTATGCAACCAGATAACATCACCGGTGTTGCAATAGAAGTTATACACATAAACACATATTCACATTTATAGATAAACATAATCTGCTTGGCTACATAGGAAAAAGATTTGGTAGTCAGGGTCTAATGGGGCAGTAAAATTGCATTTTTGGCATCCTAAAATGTTGTACTGTCTTACTTAACTTCTTTTTGTGCAAACTCCTGTTTTCCTTTGATTTTGTGTTAAAATGAGACACTAATGAGGTCTCATCTTCCAGGATTCATGAGTAAAGTGCTGAATAAAGCTAAATTTAGGTCATTATTTAATGTACAATATCTCTTTTTTTCCATTAGGGTTAACAACAATAACAAAAGACAAAGTTTGATGACGTCGTTAAGTAGTTGTGGATAATGTAAGTGCATTGGATTCTCCAATTATCCGCAGAGGTCTCCTCCTCTCCCAAACAAATGAGCTCAGTAATTAAAACTGGTAAAAAAAAAACTGAATAAAGCAGTTTAACCTTAAAAATCATTGTTTCTCCAAAGAACGTCCTGGAGAGGCTGCGAGCCGAGCTGCTGCTAACTTTAGCTCAGCTTGTTTCTCTGATAAGTTAAGATCCAGACGTCCATGGATGGTAAAAATGTAGCTTAAAACTGGATTAAAAGTAAATTTATAACAGCGTCTGGCAGACAACCACAATGCTGACGCATGCACAAAGGGGATATGACGCCACTGACAGGTGACTGGTGAAACACATGAGTAAAATGACAGATTTCTCTTTTGTTTAGTTTGAACATTGTTGTAAACATTTGGGATACTGTAAGAACACAACTCAACTACATATACAACACAGGTCTAGTGTTTATATATGTTATCATGCTGAAATGTTACGTATTATGTCTTTATAGTCCTATAAGTCTTAAAGTCTGATAAACTGTTATCATAATCTTGAACACTAGAAATTATGTTTTTCTACTATAACTTTAAATTTTAATGGACCAGACAATAAAGCAAGAAAAAACGGGCAGATTAACCGACAGTTATGGTGATCATTAGTTACAACCCAAATTTTATGTGGTAGCAGCTAACAGTAACCTTCTGGTTCTGCTTTAAACCTGGTCATTCATTTATGCAGTGGATCAGGTTTCCCGGTGGCTCAATATCAGAGAGCCATTCAAATGTCAAAAGTCAGTGTGATGGGTGACCCTCTTTGATTCTCCAGCAATATGGGTGCAGAGTGGGTGTTCATCTTCGGCCTTGGGGTCAAGTGGATCCAGTAACCCCATGTCATATATAGTCACACTGGTGTATGTCGTTTTTGTTGGAGGACAAACATCAAGACACTGGTAGGGCCCGCTGTGTGTGAAATGGCGCGGGGGGGGTTCCTGGACTTTGTGTGGGCTGAGCTTTGTCTGAAATGGGGCCACGTGGGCCCGAATTAAAACCTTATTTAAGAGGATTCAGGACAGATGGCATCCCATTGTTTCAGGATGTGTTTATTATTAGAAAATGGGGTGAATGATGGAAACAGCACCCCCTCCGCCCCTCCCCTCCCAACCCTCTTCTTCTCTGAATAAACACACCACACCCACCTTTTATTTCACCAATTTCTCAAGGATTCACCTTGCCTTGTTTCTTACTGGATTGTGAGATGTTGCACTCAGCCAATCAGCATCCTCGGAGGCAAACAAAGGGACCCCTCTTGAATAAAGCCAGGCACATGGCTGTTAAGTTAAGGCGCTCTTATTGGTCAAAGGTGATCCAATCAAAGCTCATATCAACCAAGGAAAGCACACTGAAGTAGCTACATGTGTAACAACAACACACACAACTGAGCATCCTCCTCTGTGTGTGTGTGTGTCTGTCTGCCTTCTTTATTCCAATGGGAATAATATTTTGGCAGCGTTGGAAATGAGCGTTGGATCTTGCTCACTGGCTTGTTGAGACTTAAGCATCATTATACACGACCACATTCGTCCTGTGATGACGAAAATATGTAAAAAGTGTCAAATGAACAAATGGCAGATGTTGATTTATTTCACTCTCAGATTTAAATGTGCACATTTTCTTTGCCATTTTGAGGTGAGAGAGGAACCCCGATCCCACAATCAGTCCTTCCTCTCTTAGACTTCTTATCTTACACACTTGCTCTCTTATAGCACACCAGATCTTCTTATTTTCTTCTTATTTCCAACCCTCCTCTCTTCCTCCCTTGACTTTCAACTCACCAGATGGAGAGGGGGCGGTGAGTGTGTGGTTGTATGTGTGTGTATGTGTGTGTGTGTGTGTGTGTGTGTATTCATGCATGCATGGTTACCCATGAGTTTGCATATTTACATCTCCTGCACATTTTGTCTTTATATCTTCCTCTGCTTCACTGAGGAAAAGAATACAAATACAAACTCCTGCAGACCAGGGACAGAGGAAACCACTGATGCAACAAAGTGACACTTAGTGAGGAAATAAAGTGAATGAGGTACGAATAGACCCCCATAAATACGACCATGTATCATCAGGAGAGATATTTAAGAAGTATATTACAGCATGAGCTTCATTTTCTCCACAGTCAGGAGTGGGTTTAGGGGGCAAATGGCGTTTTCTTGCGTCATTTGGGGCGAAATAAATCCATTCTGACAGCGCCTTTGCATCTTGAAACTGGATTGTTGAATATACGAGACAGTGCTAAGCTTTAACAGGGAGGAAGAGAGGGGGAGAGGGGAGAGGGAGGGTGTGTACGAGGCTAGAGAGAGAGAGCGAGAGAGAGAGCGAGCATCAAGTCACCAGGATAGGCTCCACCATCCACACAGACTGTAAGGTACAAGTGCCACAAGGAGACTATATTCCGCTAAAATAATGGATGGGACAAAGCCGGCCATGGAGTCCAACGCGGAGGAGACTCAAGACGAAGGGCAGGAGAGCAAAGGTACGCTCAATCAGCCGCTGACATTTGCGCGTTTTTGTGCATTTTATTTGCTTTGGAGACGTTCGCGTCTGCGCCAGCCTGAGCGGTTTAACCTACTTGCAATGGCTTCTCGACACAATAGCGGTGCTTTCTCCCCCCCTCTCCTCCTCCTCTCACCTATTTGAGGGCGATTTGGGGAAAAAAAGTACAATAATAATAGATCTCTTTGCTGCAGCTGATTGAGATTATTCCCACCGATCCAGAGCGCAATTCGACGTTTTTCTGTTATTTTGCGCCTTCAGAGGGGATTTGGAGGCTGATGGAGGAGGATGAGAGGGTGTGCGGGTTGATGGGCTTGAGGAACGTGCACGGTCTGGGTTTTATGGTGCATACATTAATGCCAATTTGCTTTTGCATTGCTGCGCCGTCACGAGCTTATCTCCGCCTAATGAGCGGCTGATAAAGAGGCGGCGCGTGCGCGCTGTTGCCGGAGGGTCATTGTTCTAGATGTTCAGGGTGTGGAGCAGCACTTCACGATCCTCCGCGCGCGCGCAAGCCTGCGTTCGATCCAATTACCTCGGCGAACCCTTTCCTCCAGAGATTCGGTGTCTGATCTGACAGGAGCGTGATTAGTCGACGGCGCTGCAACATATGAAGCCTGTGTTCTGTATGGATGCAGCAGTCGGGTGCATAGCTGGAGGAAGAGGGTTGCGAAAGAGACGATCAGCCGTGCACTTGGCGCAAATGGATGTTTGTGTCCGCGCAGACATGATGAAGGAGCCTCTGTGGGGAGGGCGGGGGCGGGGGGGTCTGGCTTCATGAAAGATGTGAAATAGTAATGTGACACTGCAATAAGCATCCTTTAAATCCCACATCAGCACTTGACATAATGCGGTTTAAACCAGAAACTCAATGTCAGTGTCAGTTTGCATGCAAAAGGAAATAAGATGCAAAATAGTGTTTTATGTGCAAACCAAACACCAGCCTCGAATTAGTCGATTTTGTCCGATCAAACTGTTGCTGTTCCTCTACTGAATGTGTGTGTAGGAACAGTGCCTCTGTGCACCGACGCCCATACACAGTGGATGTGACTGATTTGTTTTCATTGTGGCAGGGTAGTAAAATCCTTCAGCTGGAGACAGCAGTGTTGCTTGTGAAGGAACTCTGACAACAGGCTATCTTGTCTATAGACCTACTTTAATATTAAGGCAGAGATTACCTGTCTGATATATAAAATTAAAGAGCTTTTTATTTACAAACCCACAGCAGTGTTGCAGCTCAACTGGCACAATGCCTTTTTGCCCTGTTGGCTGTTAGAGAGGAGGATAGTTGATACCAAGTCAGAGTGCACGGGCCTTCAATGCTTCCTGAGCTCCTTCCTCTGCAGTTTTCATTCAGTTTCATGTGTGCAAAGGAAGGGTTTGTGTGTGAAGGGACGACTAAAAAGCTTCAGCATATATAAAATTGAATGAGTTGTAAAATGTTACTTTTTTGGAAGCAATTATTTTTTTTACACATTTTCAAGTGTTTCAGTGTCACAGAATGGCAAGAAATATTACTATTTTATGTAATGAAATTGTTATTTTTTAGCTTTTCTGGAGATTACATTTTTTTGTCTGATTTTGTGACTTCAAAATCTCAGCGCCAACACACTTTCTTGCAGCACTTCTCGGACCCTGCCATGGTAATATTGCTGGGTCACAGTTTGTGTATGACGTAAGGTGCAGAGAGTATGGGGTGTCCCTCAGCAGTGATGTTTTAAAAAGACATTACATCACCCTCTCCCGAGGCATGCTGCTATGCACAGGCCGGTGTCCAATGAGAGCCTTTACCATGCAACTTCAATTAACAGAGTGGGCGAGTCTGTCTGAAGACCCTGAGGATAGTTGAGCAGGAGGGTGGCCATATTTGTAGCCAGCAATTAACCCTCTGAATTCCTTAATCACCATTTTATGTTGAAGCAGTGAAATTATCACGGTGCGTTCACCCAGTTCCAACCTCTGCAGCCTGCACTCTTGTGCTCCAGGTGTGATGTTGTGCAACCGAATCCTCCCACACCAGCTTACTAAAATAGACTGGATTGGAGGATGGCCTATTTGTTGTTGTAATCATTTGTGTGTGCCTTTGACATCTGGAATGTGACCATAAGCTTATAGCATCCGTTAAGAAGCTGAAGATTTACAGTGGGGGCAATAAGCGAGAGCTGTCATGTAAGGAGCTTGTGTTAGTGTGTGCCAGCGCCGCCTCTTCTGCTCCATGACTACACGTTTCTGATTCAGAAAGCAGATGTAGGAAGTTTTGGAATAAATACTTACAGAAATTTAACTCCCAGATGCACAATGTGACAATTAAATACTTTGTAAAGAGATCGGTATTGGAAGCACTCATCTGAACCTTTTATAAGTCCAAGTCAAGAACCAAGTCAAGCCAGATGTATTTCATATCTAATAAAACATAACATCATGTTTATTTCAGCTGAGTATATTTGTAACAAAACTGTGACTTGAGTCCTAGTTATATAAGCTATAGATGCTAATCCATATGCTTTTAGAGCCAGACTGATATATGGTCCATCCGCATATATGGACTATTATTAGTAAATGGCCAAAATCTGTATATGTGGAGGCCAATAATTAACTTGCAGAAATTGCAGTAGAAAAATGTCAAAAATATGTTTGAGTTACGTTATCTCTTCATTACAAGAGCACTGATTTCAACTGTAAAATATCTCACTCAATATCATCATAATTCTTAAATAACCAAGTTTAAGGCATCTTTAGGGTCTTATAGGTTCATGTGAAAGACAAAAACTGACTGTATATTAGATTTTGTATCAGTCAGGTAATATTGTATTTGTCCTGCATCAAAGGAATAGTTTGGTACTTTGAGAAATATGTTTCTTTTTAGCTTCTTGCTGAGACTGTTGTTGTTCAATATGATGCTTAGCTCAGCATAAAGACTGGGATACAGCAAACTATCTTGTTATATCTCATTTGTTTAAGCGACAATTATCAGCTAAATCATTTGTCTAAAAGGTATTAAATACTTTAAAGACTAAGCCCTTCACAATATGCATCAGGTGCTGCATTCGCAGTGCTGCTGTAAAGAGCATGTTGATTAGCTGTGACTACATTAGCTACCTTAATTATGGTAAACAGCCCATCTTCTTGATTGCACCACTATTGTGTCTCTTTGCAGCTCGCTGCATGACACTGAGCTGAGAGTAATTACAAACTGGAAAATGAAAGCAGAACACAGGCAGGGTTTATAATCCGAATCCGTGGTGGTGTTTGTGGGTATGGATTGATCTTTTTGCTTCATTGCGTCCCATAATCTCTAATCTGTATGTCTGTAGAGGTGCACTGTGCTCAGCGCTTGGCTAACGAGACATAAGCTACGCTCTCTGAGGTACAATATATCTGTTTTCATTAGTATGAAAGTTTGATTATAAAGCAAGCGCCTCCCTTGTGACATCTTTTAATTTTTTACCTTTAATGTGGCTCCCTAAAGCAGCTTTAAGGGGTTCAAAGTGGCCCTGAGTGCATTTCAAGTTCCTCTCACTATGTCTGTTTGTTCTCCCCTTTGTCATAAATGATTGGCCTGTTCACACACTCCTGCCTTCCCTATGTGTGTGTGTGTGTGTGTGCCCACTCTTACATAACGCAGCACTGGCTTGCCGCCTTTGGTTATGATGTTCAGATCAGAACCGTAAGAGATTACATCATCGTCTGGAGGGGTGCAGGTTTTGTTGAATTTTCTGCTTGGAAGGGCAGAGCTCGCTGCAGCCTCTGAAGCACAAAGAGAGCTCCTCTTAATCTGTCTTTCAAGTTCTTTTTTCCAGTAAAATGTGTGAGGTTTGACCTGAGCAGAGCAGGATTCAGTGCTAGAGAGTTAATGCGAGATGTTTTCAGGTGAAACGCTGACAGATTCAAAGGAGTTGGAGCAGGTAATCAAGTAAAGGTGATCAATGTTTTAATGTTGTTTTGGGAAATACGCTTACTTTCTTTCTTGCCAGGAATTATATGAGAAGATCAGTTGCCAGGCAACTAGCAGAAACTCCAGGAAGTTACTGCTCCGAGCTAAGAAATAACACATTTTTGTTACTACAGTTAAGTTTTTGTACGGATTAAACTGAGGCGATGTAAGGTGTTAATAACTGAGCTTTAGGTGTGCTCATAAATGGTTTTTTTAACCTTTGGACAGAGACAGGCTAGCTGTTTACCCCTGTTTCCAGTCTTTATGCTAAGCTAAGCTGACCAACTGCTGGCTGTAGCTTTATTTTTACTGTACACATGAGGATGGTATCAATCTTCTGATCTAACTCTCAGCAAGAAAGCAAATACATTGCATTACATGATTAAACTGAATGTGACTCAAACACCTACTACATCCCATATGACTCTTAAACAGCATCAACCCATGTGTTTGCATTGTATCACATTTATATCAGGGCAGTGATTGTTAGATTGAGAGGACTGTTTAGAGAGGTCACTGCTAAAAGTCAATGGCTGGCTTCCATTTGTGGTTGGTAATAATCTGAGGTCTGGTTATTTCTCACATAACCTAATATAGTTATTAATTTATATATATGTATATATCCCTCCTAAGATTATTCTGTTTATATATATATTTATATATCCCTCCTAAGATTATTCTGTCCAGTACCCAACCTTCAAAGCTGAGGAGTAACAAGATGCTTATTGTATAAGAAATCAAATAAAACTGATATGATAACAAAATGAGACAAATGTTTCTAGTTTTTCCAGTTTTTTATGAAATACTTGATAGTTTTACTTCTTTAGGTCCCTGAATATTTGAACTGCTGTGATGTGACGATTGCAAGCAGGTAATGATTTGTTTTAAAGGATCACAAGCTATAAATAAATTTATGACAGAAAAGTAATCAGCAACAAGCAAAAATGCCAAAAGAAAATGTGATTCCAGCTCCTCAAATGCGAAGTCTTCTATGATAGTAAATTAAAATTATTTGGGTTTCTGACAAAAACAAGCAAACTGAAAAT